AAAATTATGATTTCATTGAAATGCTTTTCACAAGAAGAAAGCAATCGTTTTTTAAATGAACATAGAGCATATATATATATATATATATATATATTATTTTTTTCTCTTTTCACTAAAGATTAATCAACTCAGTCTTGTGTTCATAAGTTCATTAGTGTAATTGAAGTAACGTCATTGAGATATGAAACTAAATATCGCTTTATTGACTGACCAAAATAAGAGATATGTAACTAAATATATTTACGATGATGTTCAATGTTCTTGTAAAATGAATACTACCAATTAAAGCGTAAAGGCTTTACACAAATGTAAGAACATGGGTAAAATTGGAAACAAGATTAATTTAGTTAAAGTAAGATAATTTGACATAAGAATTTAATTATAATCCTAGATAAATAATGCAAGTAGTACTTGGTATGTTAGTAGTAGGTAACTTGGTTTTCCTTATGTGTTGATTAAGAGAAATAAAAGACCTATTTGATTGAAGTTTTTCTCGAAAAAAAAATTTTAAAAAGCTTATCAAAAATCAAGTTGGTTATATAATTAGTTATAATAAAAATGTAAGTGATTATATTGAGTATATAGTTAATTAGAAAAGATGTATAATTGATTATAAAAATATATGTGATTATTTCTAAAATATAATCAACTACTTCACTTTCCTGCCAAAAAAATCTTGGAAGAAAACTTTCCCAGAAAAGTTCTAATATAATCACCTATATTTTCATTATAATCTATTATATGTTACTTCACACAAGTTGATCGATTAGCGGTGTGTGTTTCTAATTCTATGAGTTAGATTCAACCCTTTCTCTTACTCTCAAATTGTCCTTATTTAAAAAAAAAAAAAATTATATTTTACTTCAATTTTGTACCAAGAATTTTAATTTTCTAGGCCAACCCAACTTGATTTTTGGTTCAACTTCCTCGAATTTTCCTTTTTTTAGAGAAGTTTCAACCAAATAGGCCAGAGGGTATAGAAAAGAAAACGAGAGGAAAGAAAAAGAAGAATATATATATATATTTGATATTAATTAAAATCTTGTTTTAAATGGATATTAAGTTTGAATCCCAAGACACTGTTTGTTTAGACTTAACAAATCCTTCTTCTCTCCCCGATTGTGGGGCAGTTGTCCCACATTGACCTCGTGTGCGTGAGTTATAAGGTATATATGAGATTCCAGGTAATTCCAAACTGACCGGTTTTGGAATTGTGCTATGTTCCGTCACTGTACCCATGTAAGTGTTTCAAAAAAAGACAAACACCCTTGAGTGGGGGCCCACCCCCGATTGTGGGGCAGTTGTTCCACATCGATCCGTGTGCGTGAGTTGTAAGGTATATATGAGATTCCAGGCAATTCCAAACTGACCGGTTTTGGAATTGTGCTGTGTTCCGTCACTGTACCCATGTAAGTGTTTCAAAAAAAAAAAAATCCTTCTTCTCTCTCTACTCTAGAACCTTTTGCTACTAACTAGAACCTTCTCAAAGTTTAGGTTTTTTGTGCTCGGAAGCCTCTGGCTTCTCAAGTATTTTGGTGCTCAGAAGCCCACTGGCTTCTCAAGCATGGTGGAGCTGATTAATCGTGCTCCCTTGTCCGTTGATCATCTTGAGTGGTTTATCGGCTTCTTTCGTGACCCCTTTCAGTGGTCTTTGTTTTCTTTCCCTTTCCTATTCCTTGTTTTCTTGTTTTGTTTTATTTAGATCTGGTGGTCAACAGGACAACAAAAAAGAAAATTGGGGTTGGTTGCTACTTGCTCCGATCTTCTAACCATGACATCCTAGAGAATGGACTTATCTATTTCGAGAGCAGATTGAAGGGTGTCTAATTTTTTTGGAATGTTCGATGAAAGGAACTTGTAAATATAAAAATTAGTTTCCTTAGAGATTGTTCGTGTAATCTATTCACTGTCTTTTTTTATATCTATTTAATGTTAAACTTGATCTCCTCTTGTTTTTTGGTCTTCAATTATGCTTTATTTGTTTAGTTATCTGCTCTTATCAATGGGATAAAGGTTTTTTTATGTAGACGTTTGATGGAATTATATAATTTCAGCTTAGTTAGAAAAAAAAAAGGTTTGAATCCCAGGTCGAATAAGGAGGAATTGGGGAGATAAAAACCCATCAACCAACAGAAAAAAGAGAAACTTATTTTTTGTAGAGATTTTTTCTTTTTAACTCTCTTTTTAATGGTGGCATTTGGCAACTTCCTATCATATCTAGTGATGAGTGTAAAAAAGGGATATTAACGGAAAGAAGATGGTAATAATCAACACGATAGTAGTAGACTGAGAGAAGAAATAATTTTATTGATATATTTTTTAGTGTTGAAACATACAGTGGGGTACCCAAAAAATTAAAAACAATCGGTGACAATTCGTTGCTGTAATTGATCTTCAGAGCTCCAACTCGAAAACCTTAAAAAAAAAAAAAATCAGAATATGCGTCAGTACGTGGGCCATTCACTAAACTAATTACAATCCAAGTTA